GAAAGACAACAAGAAGGAAGATCAGAAGTATCACAACACGGAATATCTGTCCAGCTAATGACACTTTTGAGATACCAGGTTCGAAATAAACATTCCTTCATCAAGTCTCCTGTCTTCTCCCGTTACAATACTACCACCAACTAGACGAAATACTCCGATTGTTTCAGCTAAAAATAGGCGTTTCAATCTAACATTAGCAAGAATTCAAGCCATAATTTCAAGCAACAGACAATAAAAATGAATTTGCACATCCTAATTTTACAACTCCCAATGTCTCCCCCTCCCACCTATCTATCTGATTACTTCATCCTTATCAGGATGGGAAATAGCTCAAAACTAAGACATAACAATTGAAAGTAGCTTGTCTGGTTAAACTATATAAGCCACTGAAACAAGTGAAAATAAAAAAAACTATTCATTAGATTGATGCGTGTAGTGTTTAATCAGTCCAACTGGTCAGATGTACATCAGTTCACATTTTATCAGACTCAATCATCAGTCCACACACACACACACACACAAACAAGCAGACAAACAAACAAACACCCAGTTACACGATATCGCTTAACTAGACTAATTTTAATACTACTACTACTACTACACTGATACAATGAGATATAACTACACAAACATCCATAATCAGACACAGTGAATTAAGAAACACATTTTTTTTAATGTTTCACTCAACCTTGTTACACTTTACATGCTATCACTCACTCATATACTAAATAAATAACAAAAATAATTTAAAAATAATAAAGTAATAATAATAAACCCTTATAGAATTTCTAAATTGTAACATTAAGATTGTTGTAACAAAGGGAATTTTGTTTTTACAAGACATGTACAAAATAAACCTTTCTAAAATATAGTCATGACCACCACAAATAGTAGTAGTAGTAGTTAGATGAATCACTCTCAACATATACTCTCTCTTTCTCTCTTACTATCTTATAAGTAAAGCTGACAAATTTCCTTATTCATGTAATTTTCAAGACAGAGTTTGTGCGGATGTGATTAATATCAGATAGAGAATCATTGAAAACCAGCCACAGAGAGTACTGGACAGATGTTTTGTCAGCCTAGTTTAGGACTGTTCATCAGTAACACAATCATGACCCACATCACCGTGGATCAGGCCTGCGACCTTCAGGTTGCTCGTTGACCATCCATCCAGCTACTTGGGTAACAATTCGATGATGACCCTTTGAATTCTAGCGCAACTGCCACCAGCCGGATGTCATCGGTGAGAGTATTTGTTGTCTCATACCCAACTTGGTGAACCACGCTGGTCACGACTTCAGACAACTTAGTGCTGCGGTCAGTCA